TATTCGTTCACAAACCCCATTGTATTATTAACATTATCATTGTTAACATCAAAACGGTTTAGTAAAATGATAATGACAATAAGACAATGTACAATTGCCAAATCAGCGAAATAGATCTTCATGATTTACACTAAATAGTTTAGGGAAATCGGGAACGCCTGCAGAAGACAAGCCACATTATTGACGCCTAGGAGCTTTTAAAGCGTAAGTGGCATCACGAAAAAAAATTTTGTATGCGTAATTATGATTAAAAAATCAAAAGCGAAACAATATCAAATAAGATTTTCCTGAATGTTAATTGTTCCCCCAGTCTCTGGTAAAAGTTGCAGTTAAGTATACATGGCGTGGAACTATTTCTGCACGTCCGAAAATATTTGGAGTTGCCGAAAATAATTTGGTAATTCACGTCATGTATATCAATCAAGCAGTATAATCAAGTAGAACACAGTAATTGTTAAATTTAAGTATGTAATCACATGATCGTGTCTATTAACGCACTAGAGTCATATGTATTTAAAAAATTAGTATTATAATTAGGTGTATTATATCGTGAAATCATCTTTCCAACATTTGTTTTGAGCAAGGTTTTTTCTCATATTTAACGTCTCTTTTTCTTCGAATTACATACCCAACAATCATGTGACTGTTGAATTGTTGTTTAACGACTTTTCTATTTTGGTAGGTTGTGGTAGATCACCTCACATCACCTGCAGTTCTTTATCCAATCCAATTTTGAGCGAAGTTTTAATGACAGTTAACTGTTCAATACACTTTATTTATTTTATTTTATTTATTTATTTTCTACTTCGAGCGGCGGTTTAGAAAAAGAAAAAATATTTATATATTAATAAAATCCGTTGCATAAATATCTCACTCTTTTCATTCATTTATTTTTTTTAACTTTTAAATATTATTATGTTCCTACCATTCTCCTAATCTTTTAATTAAAGAGTATGAAGGTAAAATAGAACTTCCATATTTACAAATAAAATAACTGGATTTGAGAGAGAATAGTTTTAAGAACATTAGGCGAATTATTTAATTATTATTAGTATTTTTTTTTTTTTGAGCAACTGAAATAAAAATTATAACAAAAAAGCCTTGGGACCTAAGGTTACCATATGACTTCAAACCTTTTCAAACAAGACATTATAGACAACGAATTTTCACAACTACTTGAAGATTTTACTTCTGTCGCTTTGGACAATACTACTTTATATAACGCTGCTACAACTGCGGCTCAACAACTACAGCATTCTACCCCCTTCGATATGTCCCCTCTCCTAACTTCTACTCAAAAGGAGAGTGGGAACACCAGAGATTACATTAACGATATTGTTTCTTCTTCAGCTTATCCGCCGCCTGCTCAAGATCCACAAAGAGTTTTACGTCAAATGATGAGTTTATGTAAACATATTTATTCAAGGGGTTTGATTGAAGGAAGTGGAAGTGATGTTACTATTAAAGCTTTTGATAAAGATTATCATTTACATAGAATAATTCTTTATCAAAATACTTATTTTTCCGTTTTGTTGGAAGGTCCTTGGAAAGAAAATGGTGCAAAAGATATAGAATTACGGTTTGATGATAAAAATATCACTCGTGAGGCTTTTGAAATAGCTTTGGGTCGATTATATGGTAGATTGGATGAAATCATCTTACCTTCTCAAGTATTAAGTCTTCTTGCTACCGCTTCTTTTCTTGACTTACAAGATTTATGTGAAATGTGTGTCGATGTTATATTAAGAGATATAAAAGATGATACCGTGGTTAATTATCTTACTTTTGCCACCACCCATTTTTATGGTTCTCATTCCGAAAAGATTACTGAAGCTTGCTTCACTTATCTTTGTAGAGAAGGTTATGATAGTTTAACTCTTAAATCTGCCTTTTTATCTTTACCTGCTGAATGGTTGAAGAGAGTTGTAGAGAGTGATGCTTTTTGGGTTCCTGGTGAATATGAGAGATATTTATTTGCTCGTGATATTGTTAGTATGAGGAGAAAAATTTTTGTTGAACGAAAAAGAAGAAGTGTAGTAACTTCCTTGTCAAATGCTGAAATTCTGGATTTACATAATTTACCAACTGAAAGTTCCGTTCCAATTTCTCCAACAACTCCTACTTCTCCATCTGGAAATAGACGATTCATAGATACTTATTCTTATCATACTAGACGCTCCGCTTCTATTAGTACCATAGGTTCTGTGTGTTCTACAACGTCTTCGGCTATACAGGTGGAGAGTGATGAATCTATTTATAATGCTATCTTTACCTATGCAATTTACTATAGTCATATGACTTTCGAAGAATTAAATTCTATTTTACATGATTGTGATCCTACAACTGGTGTCCCATTCTCTCCTGACTATGTAATAAAAGATGCTTTATGGCAGCAAATTGATCTTCGTAATAAAATCGAAAATGCTACTGAAACTGATGTCACTTTAGGAATTTCTTCTTCTGAAATATTAACAAGTTCAACGGGTGTACATTTCGAAATTCCTTCGGATGATACCACTCATATAGGTGAAGCTCTTACTGGATTGGAAGATATGATCGGAGGTGGAACAAAAGCAATGAAGGATGGTGAAGGTAGAGGAAGTGTAGAGTATTCTCTGTTTGCTCCTTTTAGATTCAGCGTTGAATTTGCAGATGTTGCTAAATTAAAAGAAAAACAGAGAGTATATTCTGGAACAAAATTTTATGCCGGGTGAGTATAATATATCTCTAGTTTACATGTTTTTCATGTCCTATTTTTTAATAGTTATAATTTCTTAATGTCTATGATTTTGATTCAATATAGATCCAATTGGAATATGTATATCCAAAAAATAAAAACCCCTCGTAAAGGAATACAACTTGGTGTATACTTACACCGTCATTCAATGCCAGATCCTGCATCTCCTTGTAGTAATAATGGTAGTTCCTCTTCATTGATGAATGTATCTCCCCTAAACAAAAGTCCTACATCTTCCCCCAGCTCAGATGATCGATTTGCTTCATCAACTCGTCAATCTATGTTAATGAGGAATGGTGATAAGAGCTTTTCGAGATATGCCGATAAAAGGAAAACTGTTAGGACTTGGTTTAAGATATTTTGTCCATCAAGAGGCCCTAGTCATGTGTTGACCCAATTTCAGAGTAGTCCTGATAATTTTGCACTAATGCAAAGTTGGGTTAGTAATTTGCCTTATAATTGATTAGTCAATCAATTATTTATGTTTCTATGTTTAACCTTTTTATTATTTTAGGGTTGGCGAAGTTCAAGTCTTTGTCAGGATGATTATCTCTTGGACGTTCGTGATTATGACACTTCTGCTTCTGCTATTTCAAATTCTAATTCATCGACTCTAAAATTTTCTGTGGTGATGGGACATGTGTGAGAATTTATCTATTGGTAGTTTAGAGCAAAAGGATTTATCTATTTATAATTGGATTTAATTTTTAAGTACACTGCAATTTTTTTTTATTCAAAGGAACTTTTATAATTATTTAGATGTTGGGAACAAGTGTTTGCATATTTTGCTTCTTAAATTGTATAATAGATTTTGTTTATCGATTTTTTGATAATTTCTATCTATATGTTATTTAGAGGGCGAATGTTTATTTTACAGAAAAATTAAATAACTAATGTTTGATGTGTTATAGAGAATATTGTTTTCATATTCAATATTTAAATTTTGCTGCTTTAAGAATGTACTTGTACAATTGGCTGGAAATGAGGCTTCGTTAATATAATATACACATTTTTTTATGGTATTAAATGACGTCACAGATCGTCTTATGTCCAGAATAATTAGCCATTAAACTCGTATTGTGAACCGGTCATTACGTTACGTACAAATATCATTATGCATCTAATAATACAAATAAACAGAATTTTTGTTGTGTAAACATTGTTATACTTTTCTGATCAATTTTTAATAATTTTATTAATTAAAAATAATATATTTGCAGATATATAATTTTATTATTTAGTATTATATAAAAATGTTTAATTTGTCCTGTTAATCTGGTTGTACAGCAATTATATAAACGTTGTCCTTTAATTTTTTTTTCCACAAAACCAATAGAATTTTCAATTTAATATAACACGACTTCTTAGTTCTAATATAAAAATTATGAATATCAATGGAAAAAAATTCGTATAACAAGGATTCTCTTGTTAGTCATGTTAAATTTTATGGCGCTTTATGCAAGTTACACGAATTCTCAGTTCGGAAGACATGCCACTTATATATTGATTTGATATACAGATACATCTCGGTTTTATTACCTTTATCTAGGAAGTAGGTTCGGTTTGGTTCCAAAACCATTTTGCGAACTTAAGAACTCGATTTTTATAACCAAATTCCAAACCAAGATTAAACCTGGCTTGATTCGAGAACTTGGCTTTGTAATATTTTTATCTGGCTTTAGTGCTTCTCCAAATATGACAGTTATATAACAGAATTTTATTGTCCAGAACGAAGTGACGGACTCATACTTCTATAATTCATACAGTGGGGTCACCAAAATTCCGGTCGGAATGCCTCGGAATCATGATCGGCCCATCTGATAATTTTGGCCCCTAAATCCGATGGATCCGACCCGTAAATTTGGGGATCCCCTGTAAAATATTACTCATAGTGAAAAATCATAGAATTTGATGAAAAGTATGTCGTAACAATTTTTTTAATCGCCAATATTATAATCTATTTTAAAGGCAGTAACTTTAAATTTTTATTCCCTAATTAGAGGCAGCAATTTACCATTTACATTTTATTATACCCATTCAATATCCAGATTTTTTTTTTTTTTTGTGAAAAGAATTGTGTAAAAATAGTACCGTAAAAAATGAAATTAAATAAAATAATAAGTTCGTCCACCCAATCGCAAGTCTAAAACAGAAATTGCTAAACGTACAATTTATTCTACATTATAAACATAAAAAAAAAGCAGGTGAAAAAGTACATATAAAATTAACAAGTATTGTTTGTTTAATTGATCCGTTCTCAATTTTAATCCAAAAATTGGACTTGAAAGAATTGATCAATCTAGTATAAATCGAAAATGATGTCTAAGTAAGAATGTTCTTGGTATCTTCATAAATGGATATTAATTGTTGTAAACTGTTATGATTGATACCTTGGAAATCCAATCTATCATATCCTGTTTCGAAGATGCCTGCAAGATATATGCGTTGTTGTTGGTGTATATGGCGAATACATGTTGACGCTAATGAAAAAAATTTAAGTATCCAATGTATAAGAACAATTGTTAAGATGAAGAGATATCAAATTTATAACTGCTAAAGATTTTACCTGAAGCATATCTTCTAAATCCCTCTTATAATCAACTCTAACTGATGCCAAGTTAATAACGCCTTGTTCTTCAGTTTCTTTAGGTGATTCGTAGATGAATAGGTATGGTCTACATATACATCATAAAAATTGTTAGAAATACGCACAATGCATCATTCATAAGGACAATAGAATTAATTGATTAGATAAACATACCTTCTCAAGACGTACCACCTTTTAACCCAATGATCATCGTTAGCATCTTCAGGAGTAAATAGATACCCTTTTTTAGTTATCGTATCACTAATGATAACAGAAATATTATTAGAATCGGCAATAATAATGAATAATAATATCAAAATTTCACTCACGTTTTTGCCACCATCCGAACTTGTGCAACCAATTTAGTTGGTTTCTTTCCCCTTGACAATTCTATGTCTTGATGGAGTCCTGAGAGTGGTGGCTCTTGGTTTATAACGATCTATTATATAGCAAAGTTAATTAATTTATTTTAAATAAATTAGCACAATAGGTTTGAAATAAATAAAAAATTCTAAAATCTAAATCTAACCTCTTTCATTGTTCCCCATCTTTTCGTCCAGAGTGTTAAAACATATTTACGTAAATCTTCGGCACTTTTAAATTGCTCATATTCTTTTGCTCCCTTTAACGCAATGACTTGTTTCATACAATCAACTGCTTCCCTTCTACGTATAAGTTCACTAATTTTTTTATAATCTTTGACTAATGACACTCCACGAGGTTTCCAATCTATCAAAAGTTCTTCCCCACGAACATATTTATTTGCGGTATTAAGCCGCCAAAGTTCAGAAATTTTTCGAGTCATTGGAGGTTTAAGTGTGACGGAAAATAGCCCGCTAGATTTCCATAATACTTTGGATTGATTTAATAGTTGTATCAACCTTGATGGTGGCCGAGCCTCACGACCTTGGACTTGCACTGCAATATCCATCGAGAAGGTAATTGGTTCCACACATTTTTCGGCTTCTACGTAACATGTGAGCCCTAATAAAACTCTACTACTAGAATGTGTAGTCCTGTTCAGGAAAATAGAATCATGAAGTGTACTGTCCCATGATGCTTGGACTACAATAACACTGGTTCCATCTCTATTAAATTGGACAGTTTGTGTTGGTAGTAAATTCATCTGTATGTCATTCTGAACTGGTGATTCAGACAATCTTCCCTTTCCATCAAGTAACCGTACCCGACCGATTTCCATTTTTGACACTCGAGTCCATGGAAATTGTCGACCAGAATTATGTGTTAACGTTAGAACAATACGTCGTTGAAGACCTTGTCGTAAGAAAAATGCACCTGGATCAAGAGAATTTTGCGAAAGGACTTGAACTGGCACATACTCCCCTGTGGAAGCAAGTTCGCAAACTTGAACCCATGCAACCACATCATGTTTTTCTTCTGCTATCAATTCTTCTTCCGAACGTCTCTCTCTAGGAACTGAAGATTCAGGTGTAACATTTTCACTGTTTTTTCTATAGGATGGACATTCTTTCTCATTATCCCACCGTTCTATTTCGTCTAATACAATACGTTTGGCGCGGCCAAATACTTCGAAAGTAAGCACACCATTAGTAAGTACCTCCATCATAGCGGGAGATACGTCCATAGTTAACTTTTTTTTGTAGTTATAGGTAATTTTTGAATTTCCGAAATCATTAGCACGTTCTGTGCAATATACATGTTCACCGGAAGAAAGAGGTGCAACATTCCCGAAGGAAGACAATTTATACTGTACGTGAACTTGGTCGTATCGTGACTCCGAAATACCACAAAGTTCTATAATGCTAACCTCAAAGACAACCAATTTATTAACTAATAATTTCTGAGATATTTCTTTTTGTTTATCATCTGTTGTTGGTGTATCCTTTGAAGATGATTCTTCAAACTCTGTGAGAAATTTAATGCGAATGCGACAATAACCAGCAAGATCACCGGAGTATCGGCAAATAATCGGTGCATCATATTCGTATTCCGCTTTTAAAAGCAAGCATATCAAACCGATAGAACAACTACCTATAAAAGTATATTGTGGAGAAGGATTTTCGTAGAAAGGGTCTTCCCAATTAAAATGTTTGCTATATTGCGGGCGGTCGATAAAATTATATAGATTACGCATTTTTTGTAGACGACTTTTAAGTTTATCAAGTGACCATATATATATAACATCATTTTTAGTGTCTATAACTTTAACACCAATGCATGGTTTCTTAGAGAAGTGTAATGATGTATCTTCATTATGATTGTATTGATTCAAAGCTGAAGTGCTCTCACAAGATGATACGGGATTAGTGTACGGTTCATCTTCAATAATGGTAAATTGATAAAGTATTTTTTTACCAAGTTCTTTACTAATAACATTTGCTTCCTTTAATATGACTGCGTTACTGAGTATGACCTCTGCCATCTGAACAAATCTCTGACGTCTCCACTTTGTAAGCGCCATTCTAATAAGACGCAATTGTTCTTCTGTATAAGGCGGAGTATCAGGTGAGTAAGTATATTGAGAAGCGTCGGACAATCGTTTCGTTTTTTGTACATATTCTTGAGCTTGAGCTTCTAAAACTCTTTTCATTTCCTCTTGAACCATTTTAAGTTTTTCTTCCATCTGTTTTTTCTCGGCTCTTAGAACATCTGTTTCAAGGTTTGATGTTTCTATTAGTTTCATCTTTTCTTCATATTCTTGTTTTAGATTATCGCATTCCCGTTGCATCTCTTCTTTAATGACTCTAATTTTCTCTTCATATTCGATTGATGGTGTAGCGGGACCATACGAGGACTCAAGGTTGTCACCAATTGAAGCAGTTTTTTCTGAAGCAGTGTCATCAAAATCACCACTTCGACTATCAGGACGAATCTTTCTAAGGCTTTGGATCTTTTTTAAATCATCCATAAGTCTCTGAAGATCGTCGTCTGGTAAAGAACTAAGAGCTGGTGCATCAGGACCGTTATTACTCAAATACTTAAGTGCCACTTCTCTTCTTGCATAATTCCAATCAAAAACGGCCTCCGACATGAGAGAAGCCGTTGAAGTTGGGGAGTCGGGTGCTTTTATGTCATCTACACTTCCACTAGGAGGCATGATGTTTGAATTGATTTGTAAAGGAGGCTTATTAATTTTCTCACGTTCACGTCTAACTTCTTCAGGATTATTAAACCTGAATACATGAAAATCTCCAAGGATGACACGAAATCCCGATTTCAACTTCCTTGGCTTACTTATTCGCTGGCCATTAACCATAGTTGTGCTTTCGGGGGATGGGTGCAATGTTACCACTCCCCTTTCATTTTCAAAGTGGCAATGATTGTCCAATATTTTATCACCACTTAGACGTATATCAGATGGAGTTTCTGAATCAAGGCGGCCCACGCGCGTAATTCCATTCTTAATTTGATAAACCAAACATTCCGACATAAGAGGATCTTCATTGAGATTGACAAGGTGTGGCACCTTTTTAGGAGGATGTACACCAACAGCATTTTTTTCGACCATGATTCCAAGTTCTTCCAACGTTTTTTCTCGCTCCAGTTGAATTTCTTCCGTACGCCTTATCTTTTCCTGCCAAGTTTCATTTACTTCTTTCATCAACTTCTCTGACGCTTGAATTTGATCGAAGAGTTCTTCCTTCGTTTTCTTAATAACGTTACCCTCGGGATCTTTAAATACAATGACTTGTTGACTTTCAGGAACACTAGGGTCATGAACGTCGCCTGGTTCGACACCCAATTTGCTTCGTAACATTTGCAATTCTTCTTTAAGTTCACGAATGAGTCTCGCATTAGGATCTTCATTAACTACAGCCTTGTTTTTGATACGTTTTGCGGCATCAGCATAGCGAAGAGTGCTTAGTGTCTCATCATAATCTGCTGGAGAAATAGCAGCGATCATAGCTGTTTTGGAGTTACCTCCCAAACTGTCTTTAAGTAGCCACGTTAAGACCTATAATCAATTTTTTAGTTAATTTCTTTGAACATGTATTAGTTATCTAAATAAGTATAGCTATCTTACAGAGTCTCTATAAGGAACGAACGAATCCTTTTTGGAGGAGCTACCACTAGACTGTTGAGCCAAAGCTGCAATGACTTTACCCAGTGTGGTTAATGATTTATTAATATTAGCACCTTCTTTTAGGCGTTGTCCGGTTGCACCTGTAGCATTAGCACGTTCTGAACCGGCTAAATCCACAAGACTTGAAAGATAAAGCAGAATAGTAAATTATAACTTTAAAGAGATAGAATTGACAAATCAAATAACGGAAGTCTTGATACCTAATACGAGACACTTTTTCGGTATCCATATTAGTCTGCTCGTCATGACGTTTTTGCGTTAGTAATAATGTAAATACGGCATGCGAACGACTTGAAGTTGCGTTCATGTTTGTTGCAGCCACAGTTCTTGCCTAACCATACACTAAAATGTAAGTGACAAAATAATAATAATAATCAAATAAAGTTATGTAAATATTATGATTTCAACACACCTTATTACCCTCGTCCATTAAATTTTCGATATCTTGAAACGAGTTGACGATTAACTTGGATAGGTCTTCAACATATGGCCCAAGAGCAGGATGTTCTCTAACTTTAAGATTTTCTTTATTTTTAGGATTCAATAGATCGCGAACGCGTTCGTTGTAAATCTCAATATAAGAAACTTGAACTTGGTATGTAACATTAGGATCATTCATACGGCCAATTCGATTGAATAACTCGCAACACGTGAGGGGAATAATTCCTTTATCTTCTCCGTATCCCATCTTTACAGGTCAGAAATATGAACACATGATGTTAATATAGATACCCAAAGGAAGTTAATTTATTAGAAATAATTATCTTTGGCCATACCATAGAATAGGATTTACCAGCACCAGTCTGACCATCTAATAGATAAAGCATGTGACGTTATTAGATTATCAAATGATTATTGATTACGTCTGAACAAAAGTTTTATCAACATACATACATGCAAAAATACAAGTATTATATCCTTCAAAAGCGTGGTTTAAAAGTTCTTCTCCGAGGTCGTTATATAAATGTGCCTGAGTAGCGTAATTATGATCATTTTTATCAAAGGACCAATATGATTTATCGAAAGTAAAAGCTTTGACATCTTCGGCATCCTTTTTAGCGACGGCTTTTGCATTACCAGGATCACTGGAGTCTGTTGGCCTAGTAATTATAGTTTGATTGCCTTCCATCCGGATAAGGCATTTCGCCCCCCGTGCAATTTCTAAACCAAAAATACATATACTTTTAGATGCAAACTTTTAAAGTTTCATTTACTAGTTAACGTAGAATTAAGAGTGCTACAGGCAAAATTCCCGATATATTGAACAAATGTACGAATTCACAAGCCTTATACATTTAAACTTTAATAGTGATTCTTACCTCTTGAATTGAGAGGACGACATCTTACTACTACTTTAATATTTCCTCCACTCATTTTGGCACTGACTTATAATTACAACCAAGTTTTAACTTAAAACAAATACGTGGGCTAGAAAGCCCAACGGAAATTAAAGCAGATGGATTCGTATCGTAGAGTATAAAATAATAGAAAAAAAAAACCGAAAAGCGTTGGAACTTCAGAAAATATTTGTTCTCACAACACTAAAAAGCTATACACAAAAGACTGACAATAGAATGAACAATTAACAGTCAAGATTATAATAATTTATATTAGAAATAAGAAAGAGTAAAAATTTCGTGATGCCATAAATCACAAAGGACTTCGGCACAAAAATGAGTGCTAAAGACACATAGGGATTTTAGCGGTTTGACAATTCACTAGCACAAAATTGAGTTCACACGTTTCACAGGTTTACCATTTTTAAACGCTGCACATGCAATAGTGCGATCAGTGATAACACTTATCATTGACTTTATCAGTTGCCCTATAATAGTTACAATATATATTATTATGTTTGTAATAAATAATAAAATATCAATATTGACATTTTTGTTTTATTCAAAGGTTATCTTTTTCCCTTGTGCAGGGACAATTGCTCCTCGGTTTGCGGCAGCGTAACTATTTCCGCCACTTCCGCCACGTCCGCCACGTCCACCACGCCCGCCACGTCCGCCACGCCCGCCACGTCCGCCACGCCCATCACGCCCACCTCTGAATCCCATTCCGCGACCACCATTATGACCGTTGAAGCGAGAACCTATGTAAATGTTTTATATATCTTAAATAAAAACAAAACAAAGGTAAAAATATAACTTCATACATAATGATATAAATAGTTACCTCTGTCATTTGTTTGTCTGCTCGAAGAAAAATCGAGCCGAATATAACGACCTTCAATTTCCGTACCATTCAATTCCATGGCTTTCTGAGAACTGCTAATGTCCGCAAATTGAACATAGCCAAAGCTTAAATTTTATAAAAAAAAATTAACATGATATAATATAATATAATATAATATAATATAATATAATGATGATAATATCTTAAGTATATTTACCCTTTATGATTCTCCGCACCAATAGCGGTTGGGAGTCTGACCGAAATAATTTGCCCGTAACTACTGAAAACATCACGAACATTTTTTTCCGTAGCCTTAAAAGACAAATTACCGACAAAGAGGGTATCACTGACTTCGCTTGTGTCTTTATGTTGTCCATTTTTGAAGCTAGCACCATTTGCACCATTTTTTGGGCTAGCAAGGTCCACATGAATAGACCTGCCATCAATTTCTTTTCCCGTGAACTTTAATGCATTCTGTGCTGCTTCAGGACTAGTAAATTCTATATATCCAAACCTATATGGATAAACATACTAGAATCAATAAACTTTTCAAAACCCCACACATAAATTTTCTTCAAAAAATGATAAATGTTTACCCCTTCGACGTTCCAGTTGTCTTATCAAAAACTATACGTACATCTACTATTTCTCCAGCATCTTTCATCTCATCCTTTAACCAATCAGCATCAACATTGTATGAGAGACGACCAACGAATACTGTATTACTTGAAGACATGTTGTCATCAACCTTTGGCTTTTTAACTGGCTTTTTAGCCGGTGTAGAAAATTCATCTACCTTTCTTTTGGATGAATTTTGCTCAAAGTCATTAGTATCTTCCTTGTCACTATCGTTTTCTTCAGTTTCACTTGCACTCGAGTCACTGCTTGAACCTTGCACATCATTTTCATTTTTGCTATTTTCATGATTTGGTTTGGACTTTTTAGTTAGAGAAGAAATCGGTCCTTTCAACTTTCGTTTTGATGAATTTTGATCTAAATAATTGGCCTCTTCTTTATCACTGTCGTCACTATCGTCCTCTTCAGATTCACTTGTATTCGAGTCACTGCTGCTTGAATCTTGTCCATCATTTTCATTTTTGCCATTTTCATAATCTGGTTTTGACTTTTTGATTGGAGCAGAAATAGGTCCATTTCTATCGTTGTCTTCAGATTCACTTGCGCTCGAGTCACTACTGCTTGAATCTTGGTCAATATTTTCTTTCTTGCCATTTTCTTTATGATCTGGTTTGGATCTTTTAGTTTGAGCAGAAATCGGTCCGCTTACATTTCGTTTTGAGGAATTTTGCCCCAAATAGTTGGCCTTTTCCTCATCAGATTCACTTGTACTCGAATCGCTACTGCCTGAATCTTGCCCATCATTTTCATTTTGCTTCAAATGATTGGCTTCTTCCTTATTACTATCGTCTTCAGATTCACTTGAACTCGAGTCACTGCTGCTGGAATCTTTTCCCTTATTTTGGCCATTTTCTTTATGATCTGGCTTAGACTTCTTAGTTGGAGCATAAATAGATTCATCTATTTTTGGTTTTGATGAATTTGGCCCCAAATTATTGGCCTCTTCCTTATCACTATCGTTTTCGGATTCACTTGAACTCGAGTCACTACTACTTGAATCTTTGCTATAATTTTTTTTGGTTTCTTGAGCTGATTTGGACTTTTTAGTTGGAGTCGAAATCGGTCCGCTTATCTTTTGTTTTGATAAATTTTGCTTTAAATTATCATCTTCAGACCCACTTGTATCTAAATCACTACTGCTTGAAACTTGCTTAACATTTTTTGATGTATTTCGCATTTTCGTGCCCAGGAGTGTCATGGTAGATAAATAGAGTCTTTGCAATAGAAATGGCGGAAATAATGAACCAAATCGTTAGTTAAAAAATCAACTAGTGCTAGTTAACTAATCGACTGAAAAAAAAAAATTTGATCGATTATCTACATAATAAAATTGGAGAAACTTTTCTGATTGGTTAATTTTTATAGATCTAATTAACAGACACCCGATAAAATTTTTAATATGGGTGAAAAAACCTGACATTCTAAAAATAGATTTCTACGGACAACGGAATACGGACTTTAAATGAGACTACTATGTGATCAAAAATACAGTATAATTCATTATTCTAGTCAGATTAGTTCAAACCCCGCATTCGGTTGTTCATAGAAATCTATTTTTAGAATGTCAGGTTTTCACTTGGCGGCACCCATATAAGATCAAATGATTGACGCACCAAAATTTTATATGTAAAAATTTGCTTTTTTTCGACTTATCTAATAATAGAAAATTGTCAGTTTAGTTTCTGAGTATCATTTCGCAAATTCTCTAGCATTTGAAGGTTCTTCTTATTGAATTTTAAGAGCAATTGAAAATAAAATGGGCCTTAAAGTTAGCCTATTTTTGCTATTGGTTTATAAGTAATCTACATTTATTCAAATCAGAGGGTCCGCTAAAACCATCAGGGGGAACATTTATTTCCGGTAATTTCCGGGATCAAATATTTATATAGGATGATAGTATAAAATCGGAATTTTCGAATATTAGTAAACTTAAAAAAAAATAAACTAATTATATAATATTTTACTAATGATTTGAATCATGTTAAATTACGCAATAAAAGGTAAAGTTGAAGTACTGTATATTGTATAATAAGAGGTAATAAAAATATATTATATAGCTTAATTTATAAAAGTCAATATTTTTTTTTTATCTTTGGCAGTTATAGTAGTTACCAATTAAAAGTTTATTTATAAAAGCTCAGTACAAACAAATATAAATATAACTTTATTTAACTCTTGTGCTATCATTATACAATTACCTTAATTGACATTTATAAGTGACCTGTTATATTAGACCTGTTACAGTCTAAATTAAGCTTATTTGTCTGTTACTTTACAATTGAATAACATTAATCTGATATTATTTGTTCATAAAAAGATAAAAAGTTTTTTATTAAAAGAAGAAATATACAGTCAGATTTTCCTAAATGCTATCTCCTTAAATGCACACCTAAATGTATATCTTTTCTTGAGTTCAACTTATATTATATCTATAGATTTTTATCTTTCTAAATGCAATACCTTTCTAAATTCATGTTTTGTTAAATTTTTACATATAGTCCTGTCACATTGTATTTAGATAGGTTTGATTGTATTAAAAAATTATATATATATATATTTTTAGTATTAAAATGATCTTTTTGATCTTTTTATAAAAAGTTACTATAAAAAAAGCATACAATTAGCTATTTGTATAACTTTTTATATTATCTATTTAAAAAGTCTACCTAATGTTTTCTACCAATTCTATACCTAACATCTCTGCTTAGATGTTTTATTTAAATCCTTTAAACCTGTTTTATATTACTTCATTAAATTAAACTTAGATCTTTTGTCTTAATCTTAAGATATTTATTTTTAAAATAAACTTATTAGAGCCTGCTATATATTCATTTTTGCAATTAACTCAGATATCACTATAGCAGAACCAACACTTGCAATCAAGACTAACTATTAAACTGCTATGCTCTTGTAGAGTTCATTCAGATCCTAGTATCTACTTTATAATATATTTCTAATACTTTAGTATACTTTTGCTTCTTTTAATAAATTTCTAATTCAAATAATCTATATAGAATTACAACTAGTTTATTAGTATATTAGATTAGCTCAATATTCTTTTTCTTTAGTTCGATCTAACAATCTGATTAGTTGTATCTCTAAGACTTTCACTTTGGAGTTTCTTGCTCATCTGACTACTTTGATATTAATATCTGTTTTTTAGTTCTAACCTTTACAATAATATCATCAAAACTCCATGTTACCTTTCTACTTAGGTCTTTCTAAATAGGTTTTTTGTTCTCTAATTTTTATAAATTTATATAGTCACAAGGACTTATCTTGAGTTTGCATTATCTGATTTGTCAATTTATATTTTTCTGTATAATAAGTTACACAGATGTCTTATAATCTGCTAGTCATGCAGTGTAACTATAATTACAAGTATTTTAATTCAATCATTAGGAACAGTTGTTATAATACTAAATTACATAAGTGATTATTCAAATTTTCATTATTGATTATATTTGAATATACAACCTACTACTTGAAGGTTTAACAACCTAACACTTCACTTTAAGTCACTATACTTCTACTAAAAAATTATATATAAAGAAAAAATATAAAATAATATATATATATTAAAAAATAAAAAAAATAAAAAAATGTTAATAAAAAATTAAACAAATAGTTATATAATTATAAAGACTATATTAGTCTACTAAAAATTATATATCAGTTATTTGACATGTCTAACTAAATGTTATTATTTATAAATTTTTTTTTTTAAATATTAAAGTAAGTATTTGCGATTTAGAATTTTATTGATAGTATATTCAACAAATAATTATTTTACAACTACAAAAAACAACTATAAAAAAAGTATACAACTCGTTACTTATATAACTTTAGTTATTGTTTAATTTAAATAGTTCACCTAAAGGTTCTATACTAGTTGTTATACCTGATATCTGCTTATAAGTTTCTTATTTAAATATTTTAGTTCTTATATCTACTTATCTATCTACATCTATTAAGATACTTTGATTGATACTAGTGCAAATATGCTATAGTTACTAAGTCTTTAAAGCAGTTTATTTATATAGAAAACCTTTGATCTTGTACTAAACCTTTTAGAATCTTCTGTATCTTATTGTTACAGGTTTGTAGCCTTCTTGGTACAATACAACCAAGTAATAAGATCACCTAATACAGTGATTGACTATTGCAAATATATATAGAGTAAAGGTGTAGTAGTTCACTTTACTACACAGTAGTAGGCAAATAGTTTGAGATAGTAATAGTATATAGATTAACTTTTATTAAATAAACATTCAGTAACAACCTTGCTTGTAGGAATTACTCTAGAGGGGGAATATCACTTTTACAAGTTAGAGGTAAAGGTAGAAAGATCTAGGTTGAAGTATAGAAACTTAGAATTGGCAGTGAAGAGTAAAAGCTACTCTTTATATATTTTTTTACCTAGCAGGAATAGTGGAAATTCGAGCAACATTACTTGATACTGTACTCAGAGTAATGGGGGTTCGAACAACATTAGATATCATTGTAGTTAGGATAGTGAAAGTTCAAACAACATTAAATAATACTGTGCTTAGGGTAGTAGGAACTGTGCAGAGGCAACTGGTGATATTGTTTATATATTTGTTATTCATGCTTGAAACACTTGGGGCTTGTGTTTAGGCACTTGAATCTGTGCAAAGGCACTTGGGATTTGTGCAGAGATACTTGAGGTTCGTATGAGGATACTTGGGATTCTTGTACTGTGGCACTTGGCATAATAATTTGGTGCTAGGATACATGAAACTTGTACAAAGGTATTTGGGGTTTGTAAGACAATAGTAACATTACAGATGTTACTCAATGTTATATGGCTGTACTACATTTCTAATAGCCAATTAAGATCTTTTTATCTATCTACTATATAATATAACTATTGACTAACTAATAACTAATAACTAATAACTAATAACTAATAATAATAAATATAAGATACAAAATACAATAAAGAATATATATAACTACTAATGCTATTTATAATATACTATGCTAAAATCTACTTTGTAACATTATTTTTATAGCTAATTTGATATTGCTATAGCTAAGACTAACACTTATAATTAGAGCATATTATTAAACTGCTATATCCTTGTAGAGTTTACTCCAACTCTAGTACTAACTTTGCAACATAGTTCTACTACTTTGATATTAAATTTAAGTTCTACTAAACTGTCAACTCAGATAGTCCAAAAAGGTAAGTTATAACTATACATCTTTGGTTTATATATTCTTTAACATATACTTTTTTTCTTTGAAATCCAAAAATTCTGACAGTCTGGTTAGTTTATCTAATTTCTTCTCAAAGACTTGCATATTTACAAGTTCTAGTTTTGTTTTATAGATCTAGTCTTTATAGTAGCATTATTAAAAGTTTAGGCTATCTCTTTATTTAGGTTTTCCAAGTAGGCTTCTATCTTCCTACCTGGTTTCTGTAATTTATATAGCCTAAAGACTTATTATTAGTTCTTACCACTTGATACCAATTTGTGTTCTTTCATATAATATTGTATAAATGTTTAAACCTTCCAGTTATGCTGGTATAATACAGGTTACAAGTATCTAATCTTAACTAATTGCAGAAAACAGTTAATTATAATACAGAAAAAATTGCAAATTTTTGCTATAACTGAGTTTTGAACTTTAGACCTGCTACTTAAAGGTTAACAACCTGACTATTTCTCTAGATTATTATACTCTATTATTTATAAATTAAATAAGTTAACTTATTTAATTTTATATATAAATTTATGCAAAAAAAATATTTTAATTAAATTTATTTAAAAATATATATATATATCTTTTTTTAAATTTTAAATATATATTCTTTAGCATTTAATACTTTTTTATAATAAATTAAACCAAAAAAAATACTCAATCAGTTAACTAAACTGGTTTATTTTATACTAACTGATTACAACTGATTGAAATTAATAATCTTTACTTCTCATTCTTATCTTAAAAATTTTTGAAACTTCACTTAAATTTTTAGTTCAAACTTGCTTATCTTTTATATTCATTCAGTTTTTTTTCAGACCTTTTCAAAATCTTTGCTCTTTATTGGTTATTTATATATTTTATCGATCTTATCAACTAGTTAACCACTTGTACTAGATTAATCTATTAAGAATTTGTTTAATCAGTAATCCAAAATTTATATAGATC